TAATAACTTGATTGGAATTATAACCTTGAATTGACAGTTTGATACTTTGAAAATTTTGAGCCAGCCCTACCCCCAAGGGCTGTAGGGTGGGGCTCAAAGGAGTCAGTGTGCTAAAATTTCTTCATTTTCCTTGTTTAGAATCAGAGGTGCTAGTTTCAAATCCTTTTTAGTCTGAAATCTGTATGCTAGATATTGAATAAGGTGGTTTTATTGTTTTTTGTCACTTTGAATAATATTTCTGTTCATGTTAAAAACAAAATCAACTCTCTGTATAAATATATCAGGTGACCGTTAAGGCCCATGGGCCTCTTGTTTATTCTTGAACTTGAAATTCCTTTGACTCTTTCAAATTTCAGTTGGAAATTCTGGTGGTAATATTTCTTCTTTAAATGTGAGACATGAGACCAAATGTCTCATTTTCTAATAGAATTTTGATTTACTGACTAAGTGTTGCGGACCATACAGGGAAATTGTTTAGGAAAATGTTTTAAGGATTGAAACATCCTATTAGTCAATGCTTTACCAGATGATTAACATCAGAGAATAGTTGATGCACTGAGAAGATTGTTTTCAGTTTAGCCGTATATATAGACTGTTATCTTGACAACTTTATTGTGATTTCCATTCCTAGTCTAAGTTGATTTGTAGTTGCATGCACTGTAGATAATTTTGATTGAGGTTAATGACTGGGGGCCTATTCTGTTTGGAATTCACTGGATTTATTTTGTGAACAAGTAAGGAACATTTCTGAGAAACATTTTGTATATTTTGAACATAAATCATCAATTTCCATAATTTTCAGATTTTGTCAAACAAGGGGGATAACTCGCACATTGTCTACAGCCACTATGTGATATGTAACGACACTCATCACACTATCAGATTTGGACAGGTAAGTGTCTGTTTCATTTATAGACAGGTAAGTGACTGTTTCATTTATAGAGTGACAGGTAAGTGACTGTTTCATTTATAGACTGACAGGTAAGTGACTGTTTCATTTATAGACTGACAGGTAAGTGTCTGTTTCATTTATAGACAGGTAAGTGACTGTTTCATTTATAGACTGAAAGGTAAGTGACTGTTTCATTTATAGACCTGTAAGTGGCTGTTTCATTTATAGAGTGACAGGTATGTGACTGTTTCATTTTTGACTGGCAGGTAAGTGCCTGTTTCATTTATAGCCAGGTAAGTGACTGTTTCCTTTATTTTATAGAGTGACAGTTAAGTGACTGTTTCATTTATTTTATAGAGTGGCAGGTAAGTGACTGTTCCATTTATAGACTGACGGGTAAGTGTCTGTTTTATTTATAGACAGGTAAGTGACTGATTCATTTATAGACTGAAAGGTAAGTGACTGTTTCCTTTATTTTATAGAGTGGCAGGTAAGTGACTGTATCATTTATAGACTGACGGGTAAGTGTCTGTTTTATTTATAGACAGGTAAGTGACTGGTTCATTTATAGACTGTCAGGTAGGTGACTGATTCATTTATAGACTGTCAGGTAGGGGACTGTTTCATTTATTTTATAGAGTGACAGGTAAGGGACTGTTTCATTTATTGACTGACAGGTAAATGACTGTTTCATTTATGGACTGACAGGTAAGTGTCTATTTCATTTATAGACAGGTAAGTGTCTGTTTCAGTTATAGACTGACAGGTAGGTGTCTGTTTCATTTTTAGACTGACAGGTAAGTGACAGTTTCATTTATAGACTGGCAGGGTAGTGACTGTTTCATTCTTGACTGACAGGTAAGGGACTGTTGCATTTATAGACTGGCAGGGTAGTGACTGTTTCATTTATCGACTGACAGGTAGGTGACTGATTCATTTATAGACTGGAAGGTAAGTGACTGTTCCATTTATAGACTGACAGGAAGGTGACTGTTTCATTTTTAGACTGACAGGTAAGTGGCTGTTTCATTTATTTTATAGAGTGACAGGTAAGTGACTGTTTCATTATTGACTGACAGGTAAGTGACTGTTTCATTTATAGACTGTCAGGTAGGTGACTATTTCATTTATAGACTGACAGGTAAGTGTCTGTTTCATTTATAGACTGACAGGTAAGTGACTGTTTCATTTATAGACTGTCAGGCAGGTGACTGTTTCATTTATAGACTGACAGGGATGTGTCTGTTTCATTTATAGACTGTCAGGTAGGTGACTATTTCATTTATAGACTGACAGGTAAGTGTCTGTTTCATTTATAGACTGTCTGGTAGGTATATGGAAGTACACCAAGTGTGAAAGGTTTGGACAGCTTGATCTTTGGCTCCATATTTCAGTGGTGACAACAAGGCTACATGTCAATGTGAATTTTCTGTTATTGATCTTGTACGTACTGCCTACCAAAACTGTTATCTATTGAAAGTTCAAAACCCAGGTAAAAACACCTGTTTTGAAATCTTGACAGTTTGTGAATTACACTGCCCGAGGTTGGGATTACATAGCACACCTTTGCTACACCCCAGATTAGGGCTGAAAACTAGAGCTCGGTTTTTGTGGCTCTTAAGGTCATAGGAGTGTATTGATAAACGGAAATAGGAAGTACATCCCTAGTTGAAAATTCAATGTAGGGAGACAGAATCACAATTTCTGCATATTCTAATGTTTAATATTAGACATTAGAATATGTTTATTATTGAGAGAAAAGTGTGTTCTCTCAATAATAAAGTCTTTCAAAGCAATCCAGGCATTAATTCAGTTTTTTTGTGTCGCCTATGACGGATGTCGGAAAGACACATAGGCGCTGCTTTTTCGACGGCGGCGTCAACAATGTTAAGGTTTTGCGTTTAGCTCTGTTTCTGACAAAGTTACACCAACAAAACCTCGATCATAGATGTAGCATGGGTAGTGGAGCCTACTGCACTAAAAACATTTCATTGATTTCTGCATTTTTTTGGTAAAAACCTCAAATTTCTGGACTTGGAAAAAAACTCAACGTTAACGTTTTGCGTTTAGCTCTTGCATATTAGGCTCTTTCTGACAAAGTATAAGAGTATTTATTTTGTATCCACTTTTAGATCATGTCTGACTAATGACACTTTTTGCGTTTTAATTACAGGTGTGGTAATAATGCATGCTGCATATACAATTCAATAATGTCTGCCTTTCTCACAACCTATTACCTATTAGGCTATCACATTGGGATATGACCTTCAATTCAATTCTCTTTTAATATATCCTAAGTACTATGTCAAATGCTTATTATATTGACAAATTGGTACAGGCGACACCAAGAATTACGCGTAATTATATGATATACTCATTTTATCGATGAGTCACATATGTCCATTTTTGTGTACTTCAGGAAAACGGCTACCTATTTTACTACTGTGATTTTTTTAAAAAATGATAACTCTTCCATCCAATTACTATGTGAATATGGTTTTATAAGCTCACCTGCCCGAAGAGCAAGTGAGCTTATGCCATGGCGCAGCGTCCGTCGTCCATCCGTCTGTCCGTCCGTCCGTCAACTTTTCCTTTAAAACACTACTTGTCCTGAACAGCCCAGTAGATTTGGACTAAATTTGGTCTGGAGCATCCTTAGGCCAAAGGGAATCAATTTTGTATAAATGATGGGTCTGGCCCCCCTGGGGGCTGAGGGGCGGGGTCCAATAGGGGAAATATAGCAAATTCTTTAAAATCCTTCTTCTTCTGTAGGAAAGAAAGGATTTGTTCCATATTTGGTCTGAAGCATTCTTGGGTGAAGGGGAACCAATTTTGTATAAACCGTAGGTCTGGCCCCCCTGGGTGCTGAAGGGCGGGGCCAAACAGGGGAAATATAACAAATTCTTTAAAATCCTTCTACTTCAGTAGGAATGAAAGTATTTGTTCAATATTTGGTCTGAAGCATCCTTGGGAGAAGGAGAACCAAATTTGTATAATCCATGGGTGTGGCCCCCCATGGGCCTGATGGGTGGGGCCAAATAGGGGAAACATAGCAAATTATTCTTTAAAATTCTTCTTCTTCCGTAGGAATAAAAGGATTTGGTCCATATTTAGTGTGGAGCATCCTTGGGTAAAGGGGAACCAATTTTGTATAAACAGTGGGTCTGGCCCCCTGGGGGCTGAGGGGCGGGGCCCAATAGGGGAAATATAGCAAATTCTTTAAAATCCTTCTTCTTCCTTTAGGAATGAAGGGATTTGTTCCATATTTGGTCTGAAGCATCCTTGGATGAAGGGGAACCACTTTTGTATAAACTGTGGGTCTGGCCCCCCAGGGGCCTGAGTGGCAGGGCCCAATAGGGGAAACATAGCAAATTATTCTTTAAAATCCTTCTTCTTCTGTAGGAATGAAAGGATTTGTTCCATATTTGGTCAGAAGCATCCTTGGGTGAAGGGGAACCAAATTTGTATAAATCGTGGGTGTGGCCCCCCAGGGGCCTGAGGGGTGGGGCCCAATAGGGGAAACATAGCAAATTCTTTAAAATCCTTCTTCTTCTGTGGGAATAAAAGATTTGGTCCATATTTGATCCTAAGCATCCTTGGGTGAAGGGTAACCAATTTTGTATAAACCGTGGGTGTGGCCCCCCATGGGCCTGAGGGGCGGGGCCAATTAGGGGAAACATAGCAAATTATTCTTTAAAATTCTTCTTCTGTAGGAATGAAAGGATTTGGTCCATATTTGTTGTGGAGCATCCTTGAGTAAAGGAGAACCAACTTTGTATAAACGGTGGGTGTGGCCCCCCTGGGACCTGAGGGACGGGGCCCAATAGGGGAAATATACGTAAAACCTTTATAATCCTTCTTCTACCATAGGGATTAAGGGATATTATCGTCTGACCCCTCTGGAGGCAGAGAGGCGGGGCCCGATAGGGGAAATAGAGGTAATACCTTTAAAATCCTTCTTCTACCATTGAGATTAAGGGTTTTTATCCTAATTTAGTCTGGAGCATCAATGGGCCAAGGGGACTCAATTTTGTATAAGCATGCAGTGGGTGTGGTCTCCCAAGGGGCAGAAGGGCGGGGCCCAATAGGAGAAATAGAGGTAAAACCTTTAAAATCCTTCTTCGACCAACGGGATAATGGGATTTTATCCTTATTGAGTCTGGAGCATCCTTGGGTCAAGGGGACTCAATTTTGTATTATTGATGGGTATGATTTGTTTGTTTGTTTGTTTGATTTTGTTTAACGTCNATAGCGCGGAACTGATGCCGACTTTATAGTGCTACCTCACTGAGACATACTGCCGAAGACACCCAGCAGGACGCCCCACCCGGTCACATTATACTGACAACGGGCGAACCAGTCGTCCCACTCCTAATTTGCTGAGCGTTAAGCAGGAGTAGAAACTACCATTTTTAAAGACTTTGGTATGTCTCGGCCAGGGGACAGAACCCAAAACCTTCCTCACAGGGGCGAACGCTCAACAAATGACCAAAAGTGAGGCATTGTCAAGAGAGACATTAGGAAGAAGAAAGTTATTTAGAAAGAAGAGAAGAGATAAGGTCCCAAATTTAGTCGCCTCTTACGATCATGCAATTGGGGGCAGCAGGTACAATTCTTACGCCCTACCTGCAGGGACATGATGGGTATGACCCCCTAGCTTGCATATAGGGTGGGGGCTCTGTTTGAAGTTTGTTCTCGCTATATCTCAAGTACTGGATGGATCTTTCTGAAATTTCATATGTACTTACAGCACCTACTTCGTACCAATTATTTTAAACATATTCAGGTGAGCGATACAGGCCCTCTGGGCCTCTTGTTATTGACATTATTTTGCAATAAATTGTGGCTTTCATTTTTTTTTCAAAATTCAATCCTTTTTACATAAAATTCCATTTAAAATCCTTAAAATTCTGACAACCTATATATTTTTGGGGGCAGAACATTTTCTTAACTTCAAAGCAATAAAACTACATTTTTTTTTTTTTTTTTTTTACTGAGAAATGGGGACACAATCCTATTACCTTAACTTGTGCTGGCCACATTCAATCTAACAAAACATGTGCAGAAGGTCCTATAACGGCTATTTAGATCGTAACAAACTATTAAATATCTTGAAGTTCACAACGTTCATAAATAGATGACAACAATTCAGCAAACGTCATACAGTTGAATTTATTTAGCACTTGGAACTATTTGTGTGGTGTTCAAAAATAAACTTGCAGAAATTATGATTTGCAAAAAATAAACCCCAGCAAATAAGTTCTAGAAACAAAATCGCAAACTTTTACAGTCACAAACTTAAACAACTATACCGTAAATTGATATCTACTGCAAGAGAGCTAAAAAATATGTTATAACTTGATTCTTTACCAGATGATGGAATAATGTTAATCAAACAAATACAAACACAGTCTGTCACTGTGACATCACACAGCTATACAGAATTGTGACTTATTAATGTGACTGGGGTTCATGTAATTAATGAGACTAAGGTTACATGTAATGAATGTCACTAGGGTTACATGTGATGTGACTAGGGTTACATATAATTAATGTGACTAGGGTAACATGTTATTTTATGTAACTGAGGTTATATGTAATTAAAATGACTGGGGTTACATGTTATTAATGTGACTAGAATGACATGTAATTAATGTGACTTTGGTTACATGTAATTAATGTGACTCGGGTTACATGTAATTAATGTGACTTTGGTTACATGTAATTAATGTGACTTGGGTTACATGTAATTAATGTGACTTTGGTTACATGTAATCAATGTGACTAAGGTTATTAATGTGACGAGGGTTACATACTATTAATGTGATGAGGGGTTCATCTTATCAATGTAACTGAGGTTATATATAATTAAAATTACTAGGGTTACATGTAATTAATGTGACTAAGGTTACATGTAAATTAATGTGACAAGGGTTACATTTTATAATTGTGATGAGTGTTTCATGTTATTAATGGAACTGAGGTTATATATAATTAAAATGACTGGGGTTACATGTTATTAATGTGACTAGAGTGACATGTTATTAATGTGACGAGGGTAACATGTAATTAAGGTGACTAAGGTTACATGTAATTAAGGTGACTAGGGTTACATGTAATTAAGGTGACTAAGGTTACTTGTAATTAATGTGACTTGGGTTACATGTAAGTAATGTGACTATGGTTACATGTAATCAATGTGACTTGGGTTACATGTAATCAATGTGACTTGGGTTACATGTAATTAAGGTGACTAAGGTTACATATAATTTAGGTGACTTAAGGTTACATGTAATTCATGTGACTAAGGTTACATATAATTAAGGTGACTAAGGTTACATGTAATTAAGGTGACTAGGGTTACATGTCATAAATGTGACTTTGGTTACATGTAATAAATGTGACTAAGGTTACATGTTATCAATGTGACTAAGGTTACATGTAATCAATGTGACTAAGGTAACATTTTATAATTGTGATGATTGGTTCATGGTATTACAATGTGACTAAGGTTACATGTAATGTTTGTGACTACGTTTACATGTACCTGTTGGCTTATTAACTAGGTGGGGACAGAAGAGAATCAGGTGCTCATGTCTAGGAAGATGCACTGTTACAGTTGGCGAACCCACAAATCTAAGCAGGTTTGTATCACAGTTACTGTACTGTTAAATCTCTCTGTTGCTTGAGATTGCTGAGGTAAAATTTGAAGATGTTGGAAAAATACTAAATAGAATATTCAGTAATGCAGCTATTTTAATTTCAAAGTCACAGCTGCCATATGTCAAAACGAATCTTCAAATGATTTTTTCTGAATATACAAAAGGCCTGGAGTCATGATATTTTGCCTCACCAAATACATTGAGATGGAACACTCACTAAAGTATTGAGGAAAATAACTTACTGCTGATTGTAAAATAAGTTGAAAGTCTGGATTTAAGTTGAAGGTGAGTAATCTCCCTTGTTCTTGTTTGTTTAAGCAACTACATGTGTGTCTAGACGGGAAGGTGTGGAAATGGTGTGAGCCGTTTGATATTGAGAGTGACTGTAAAATTGTGCGGACAGTGCGGACAAATGACCAGATCTACAGCCTTATCATCTACATTCAGCAACTGACCAACGTCCAGAAACAGGTAAGTGTTGCCTAGTAACTGTGATTTTATATACTCATACACTTGTGTTATGTTAACATGTCATTTAGTACTTTCTTATTGTGTTGTAAAAGTGTTACAGCTTTGATCTTACTTTCTTATTATGTTGTAAAAGTGTTACAGCTTTGATCTTACTTTCTTATTGTGTTGTAAAAGTGTTACAGCTTTGATCTTACTTTCTTATT